CATGGCATAAACCCCTTCCAGGGAGAAATAAGAGGTGAGTTTTTAAAGCCATTTTTCTGTACTGATCCTGGGAGATGAAGACCCTGGAAGTAGTTATGCGCTCATATAGAACTGCAACTTTTTTTTCCTGAGGTCTAGACAGCCTCATATATATGCAGCTTCCTTTGTTCCTAATGCTAGGAGGTTTAGGATGCAGTCCTTCGGGTAGAAGCTGTAAAAGTTGGAGCACTCATATGTGGACAATTCTTTCCAGTAGGGATTAACAGGCCTGGAATTATTCCTGGGATGAGCTGGGGGAGAAGGCCTGTGAAGTACCAATCTGCTTCTCAGGCTGCTGGTGGGCCAATACTTGCCTGTCCCTTTAATTCGTGAATGTAAGTGAGTTAGAAGCCAGACCACCAAGTAGTCATACACCCCTTACAGGGAGAAACACGGGAGCTGTGTTTTTAAGCCCCTTCTCTGCACTGTTTCAGGAGGATAAAGCTCCAGAAGTGCCTGCATGCCCATATGAAACCATGACCTTTTTCATGTAGTCTAGAGACATACAGAAGCCAGTCCTCTTTGCTCTCAGAACAGGGAGGTTTAGGATGCATTCCCTTGGGTAGAAGCTATAAAAGTTGGGATGCTCCATGTGTGGACAAACTCCTTCCAGGAGAGGAGTTTGTTTGAAATTATCACCAGGGTGAGCTGGGGGAGGAGGCTCAGGAAGTGCCAATCTGCTGCTCAGGCTAGCAGCAAGCTACTACTTGTCTGCTCCTTTAACTCCCCAGTCTAAGTCAGTAAGAAGCCAGACTGCCACATGTGCACTGAAAGAATTTGTCTGTTCCTGACAGACACATGGAGCTGCATTTTTGGAGGCCTTTCTCTGAGTGCTTCTAGAGGATGAAGCCCTGGAAGTGCTTGTGTGCCCATATAAAATTGCTGCTTTTTCCTCGTGATCTAGAGATGCTTACATGTGTCAAATTTCCTCCCCTCCCAGAGTTGGTGAATTAGGAGCCAAACCATGGCAAATCTTAGAATTAGGGTGATATATGTGAAGTCCAAACCCTCCTCTCCACAAAGAGCAGGTAAATGTTAAGGATTCCGTTCCTGATTTTATGGTGCAGTGCCAGGGGTGGGGTCTGTGCCTGAGTGTGCCTCTCAGCTTTTCCTACCCATTCAATGTGGATGTTTCCTCAGTTGCCTGGTGGGTAAGAGTCTTTCAATTGGTCTCCTTCTCTCAGAGGGAAGTGATCCATGAATAGATGTTTATATGGTGTCTGTGGGTGGAGGGGAAGTCAGGAGCTTCCTATTTTTCTGTGTGGCTCACGCCATTCCTTGACGATTTTCACATGTTAAGCCAATGTTGCATTTCTGGGATAAATCCTACTTGATCATGGTATATAATCCTTTTACTTTACTATGTTGGTGGATTCAGTTTGCTAGTATTTTAGTGGAGATTTTTGTGTTTATATTCATAAGGGGTATTGGTCCGTAGTTTGCTTTTCTTGTGATGTCTTTGTCCAGTTTTCTTATCACAGTATTTATTAATGACCTCATAAAATGAGTAGGTAAATGTTCTCTCCTTCTATTTTTTGGGATAGTTTGCAAAGGACTGATATTAATTCTTATTTAAAAATTTGGTAGAATTCACCAATTAAGGCATCTGGTCCTGGGCTTTTCTTTGTGGAAGTTTTTTGGTTTTTTTTTTTTTTTTTTTTTTTGAGACAAGAGTTTAGCTCTTGTTGCCCAGGCTGGAGTGCAATGGCACGATCTTGGCTCACTGCAACCTCTGCCTCCCAGGTTCAGGTGGTTCTCCCACCTCAGCCTCCCGAGTAGCTGGGATTACAGGTGTGCACCACCACACCCGTCTAACTTTGTACTTTTAGTAGAGACAGGGTTTTTCTATGTTGGTCAGGTCAGGCTGGTCTCAAACTTCCACCCTCAGGTGATCTGCCTCCGCCCACCTCGGCCTCCCAAAGTGTTGGGATTACAGGCGAGAGCCACTGTGCCTGGCTGGAAGTCTTAAATTATTAACTTGATATCACTATTTGTGATGAGTCTTTTTAAGATGGATATAATCAGAAGCATTAAATTGTACACTTGTGAAAAGTATGAATTTTATGGTATAATTGTATCTCAATAATACTGTCATAAAAAAAGAAAACACATACAAAGCTCCATATTCAGTGTGGTGGACAGAACATGTTCCCTTACCGTGGCTTCTCCTCAAAACCTCTAAAATAATAGCCAAGAAAGAGAAATGCACAGACCCACACAAAGAAAACAAGAGGGGAGAAGATGGTAAGCAAATGAGGTCAACAAATACTGAAAACTTGAAAAAGAAGAAACTGGTAACTGACTTAACAGACCTGGGAATACCAAGAGCCAAGGGCCTTTGGGGATGAGAACAATAAGAAGCAAGGCACACAAACTGAAGCGCCACTAGGCACCTCCCGTAATCTAAGGTATGAGGGCTAAGAATAGGAAGATTAAAGTCTAACATCCCCTCTGCTATCTCATGTCACTAGCTAATAAGTTTTTCTCTGCCCTGCCAGAGTACTGAGGGCTGTTTTCTGGAGGAGTTGATCACTGAGGGTCTGTCTTCAAGGACACATTAACAGCTGAGGACTGAGGTGCCAAAATGAAAATAGGCATTTAAAGAAACTTTACCTGCTGAACTGGAAGACTCACAGCCCCTTTTTGCTATGTGGTTCCTAAAATATTGGTAGGTTACTCCATTTCCAGAATGCAGAAAATGAAATACACAGAGGTTTCTCTTCAAAGGAACTTTCCTCCCAGTCTAATTAAGAATAGATAGTAACCTCTCTTAGAAGCAAAATTTACTCAAAGACCAGTGCTAATATTCTCAAATTCTGCTAGCTGTAATAAAGAAATCAATATACTCTGTTCTCAGCTTCCACATTTTAGCCTAGATATTTGCCCTGGCACGCCTGAACCAATCCAAGCAAGCATTAGGTCATAGCCTATTCCTCTCTCTTATTTGGAAGTGTTTTTGCCTCTCTCAGCATTCCACAAGTTACTTCCTCTCTTCCTTTGTTCTCCTCTACCTTTACCTCTTTTGGGAAGTTCTAAGTTGCTAGCCAATCGGGTCGAGTATAGAATGTGAGATCCCGTTCCAGCCAATGGAAACCAGACACAGCAGTAGGGTGGATGGGTCAGGTTACAGATGACCCTGTCTCCTTTGTTTGTTTGTGCTCTTGTGGCTGGACTGCTGGCGAGGGCACCCTTTCTGCAGAAAGTAAACTAGCCTTGCTGAGGAATCCTTTGTCTCAGTGTTGATCTTTTGCGACACTGAACTCCTGTGCCCAACACAGGAGAAGTGGAAGACTCCCCTCTAGGGAATGAACAAGTCCAAGTCCTGCAGATACAGGAATTAGGGAATGCTCTGACCAAAAGGGCAGATCCTCTTTGGCCATCTATAGGGAAGTCTGCTAGAGAAAGCCCTGCCTATACATAGAGTTTGTAATCAGCACTAAAGGACTTCACTTTTAGATACACACTATCATCCAGTAGTCTCTACAGGAAAGTCTGTAGGAGGAGAGTCTCCAACACAAAAGATAGAGACTGAAATAAATAAAAGCAGTAGGGGAGAAAATCTCTAGGAAAGAAAAGTGACCTGACATCTGATACGTTTGACCATAAGGCAAGCTAGAAGAGATACATTAGAAAGATGATAGGAAGAGTGGGAAATCCTCACCAGATTTGAAGACCAAAACAAAACATAAGCAAATAAAAAAAAAGAGGCAATTAATTTTTATAAAAACAATAAGTTTGACAACAAGCTTGTCTAACCCATGGCCCATGGGCCACGTGCAGCCCAGGATGGCTTTGAAAGAGGCCCAAAACAGATTTGTAAATTTTCTTAAAATATTTTATATATATATGTGTGTGTGTATGTGTGTATACATATATATGTGTGTGTATATATATATATTTGTTTTTAGCTCATCAGCTATTGTTAGTGTTAGTGTATTTAATGTGTGGCCCAAGACAATTCTTCTTCCAGTGTGGCCTAGGGAAGCCAAAAGACTGGACATCACTGTTCTACAAGAAAAGAAACATAATCCCAGGACAGTCTTGGCTCACCACAGTACTTATTTAGCTGTAATAAAGAAAAGATAACCAATATAACCAATGCAAACAAAAATATATGAAAGCTACATTGGGAGAATGGGAGAAAGGATGTATGTGGGAGAGGAATGATTCTGGAGAATCATCTTCATTTTCCATAGAAAGGGAAAAATAGATAATAACTAACAGCTAAAAATAGTAGTAGAAGCTTCCCGAAGAATAGCAAATGAATTGAAAGTGGCTGCCTTTGTGGAGCAGGGACTGGACATGAGTCAGGCTGAGCCAGGAAACCACTAAATTTTAAAAAAAAATTATTCCTGGGCTCAATCGATCCTCTCACTTTAGCCTCAAGAGTAGCTAGGACTACTAGCTAAAAAAAAACAGGTGTTTTATATTATGAACTTTATAGTACACTTTGGCTTTTTAAATTATGTATAGCAATCTGTGACAAAAATAAGCCCTTCAGTGTTCCAGACCCAGAGTCTGGCAGCAAATGAGCAGTGCACACCTTGCTCTCTAAAGGTATCTTCCACAAATATATTTAAATGAAAAAAAGTTGTCATCATTATTATTATTAAAGGCATTAAAACAGTAAATCCTAATTTGTAGGTACAAAATATAAGGGTAACTGCCAAGTTACTAAGAAAGGAAGGAGTCCTGGTTTTCCGACAACCAGTGTGGGACTCTAATAGAGGCATATGATCACAGGGCTGCCAATAGTTAAGGAAAACTTGGCAGTGTTACCAGGGTCCAGCTGTGTGGGGACACTGCTGGCTTTCAGCTTCTGGAGGCCAACACTCAGCTGTAAAGTAGGGCTGGTAAATCCTACACTCGTGGCAATGCTAGTCACTTGCACTCATCCCCCTGACAGGGAAAAAGCCCCTGGGGAGTGTTGGCTCCCACATGAAAGGTGTTCTACTGCCTACCTTGAGTTCATCTTTGCTCTGGAAGTTGTCCAGGAGGTGCTGGAAATGGGTGTCACACATCTGGCGGAGCAGTGAGAGAAGGCAGGACACATATTCGCCCTAGGGACCAACCCAAAAAAAACACTTAGCATGGCCAATTGCAAGGGCTGTGTTCCCCCCATCCATAGAGGGCAAGGAGAGAAGGGAGGGTCTGAGATGGCCCCAATGATCATGGAAGAAAGATGACAAATCTGGCCCTCTAAAGTTTCTTTTCTGCTAAGGAAGCCTGGAGGGATTGCAGGGGAATAAGGTCTCTGCAGTATGGGGCTACGGAGTGAAAAATCTTACACAATAATAAAGTAGTATTGCAAAGTGAGACAAATATTCTCCCCTTTTTTCCTAGGAAAGTTTTGGCTAAATAGTCCTTTGCTGCCAAGGCACTGTACTTAAGTCTATAGAGGATACTTGGAACAGGGGAGAGCTTAACCTTCTCTGGATAGAATTTGGATTCTGCCTATCCTGCTGGGCTAGAGCAGCCCTTGTACAAGGACTTCTTTGGAATCTCCTAGAATTTGCACAGGGTTACTAGACTGGGCAAACAAAACATAGCAGATCAATATGCCTGTCTGAATGGCAGATGAGTTAAAATTGACCTTTTTGAGGGGACAAGCTATGGGCTTTAAGACAAGTAGAAATTAAAGGATAAATATCAATGTTCAAAATGTCTTCAAGTTCCAACTGGGATACATGGAATAAAATCCTGCTTTAAGGACTTCAAAAACCATCTTATTGCAACTTTTGGCATGGAGCAGACAAGCATGGCCTCCTCTTAGTTACCTCTTTAAAAGGGAGGGAGAACATTTACTTCACTTGGGCAATTTTCAAATATTTATGAACTCGTGAGAAAGTGACAACAGTTTTTAGTCTCTCAAACCCTTTCTAGGTCTCTGAAATTATTATTCTTGTTTCTTGAGACGGAGTTTTGCTCTTGTCGCCCAGTTCAGAGTGCAATGGCACGATCTTGGTTCACTGCTACCTCCACCTCCTAGGTATAAGCGATTCTCCTGCCTCAGCCTCCCAAGTAGCTGGGATTACAGGCACCCACCACCACGCCTGGCTAATTTTTTTTGTATTTTTAGTAGAGACTGGGTTTTGCCATGCTGGCCAGGCTAGTCTTGAACTCCTGACCTCAGATCATCCGTCCGCCTTGGCCTCCCAAAGTGTTGGGATTACAGGCATAAGCCACCGCGCCTGGCCTGAAATTATTAAAAATACATGTGTGCAAAATATATATGTTCATGAACCTCATTTTTATCTCAAAAATGGGCATAAAAAGCTATAGGTAATTTGTCATGAGGGTCACATGGGTTAATGTATATAAAGCATTTAAGAATAAAGTACATTATGTAAAAAGCTACTAAATAAATTACAATTATCATCATCCTCATTATAATCTACATAAAATGAATCACTTCCTCAGTACTGCTAAATGAGCTAATATTGGACAAGTGCATAAAGCAGATTCTGGCCCACAGCAAGCACTGTGTAAGTGTTGGTCAGAAGGCTGGGTTACCAGGAAATGCCAGGGTACATATACATATATGTTTTTTACTTACAGTGAGAGTGCCTTCAACAGAGGCTCCTAAAGGAGCAGACACTCTTTCCAAGCCCAGTGCTTCAGAACACGTACCTGCTCCCTGAGTGCTCCCTGCTCCCCCTAGCACGCTGTAGCTTGGCTTGCTCCAGAGGGTTTTCTTCAGAGAGATCACTGTAATCTCCCATCTGCCAATGGAAAGATTCCACGAAAACTGTTTATCATGTCCCCACCTCAGGGCTGAGAAGTCTATTCTGGAGTTGGGGTACATGAGGGGCCCAAGGCATTGTCTCTCTGCCCCTCCTGAGAAGCCTTCCCAGTTTGTTTCTCTTCTAATTAGATTACAGAAAAATCATTATTCAGTAATGCCAGTGAAATTTACCTCATCACATTTTTCCAAATCCTAAAAATGTAGATACAAACATAATGGACAAAAGCAACTAATTTGTAGATAGAAGCCAATTCTGAGAAAATTATTCTGTCCTGTACATCATTTAGGAGAACCTATATGAGGGGGTTCCTAGAAGTAGTAGTCTGTTTTTCAACTTCAACCTCTTACTACATCTTACATACATCCCTGCTTCATTCCACAATATAGAAAATGACTTGGCTCAAAGTAAGCAGGAAAACAGGATAACAAACATTCCCCGGATCTGCCCTAAAGAAGAGTCCTGGGAATATGAACCTAGAGCTTTCAGAGTGGAGAGGAGAGTCAGATTCAAGAAGGGAAGAGGGCAGCATGCTGACAACCATGCAGGAGGGGAGGCTGAGATGAAGGTGATGGGATGGTAAGATGGAGGGGGAGTGCTGTGGAGAAGCCCCAGGTTAGAAAAGAAGGCAAGAAAACCTGGATGTTAGTTACTAACAGTGATCTCGGCTGTGCACTGCGGGCACCGCTGCCCTCTTACCGCCTCCTGAGCGTGCGATTTGCTCATGATGGTGAGCAGAGTCTGCAAGAGCACGTCCAGGAGGCTCTCCACCATCATCTCTACTTCCTCCATGACATCTGCCTCCTGGAGCGAGCAGCAAGAGAGCACACCGTTAGCACCAAGCCAGGCTGAAGTACAGCTGGCAGCACTTACTATGTCAGGTACATCAGCAGTAGTCTTCTGGATTCCCAACACCAAGCTCTCAGTCTCACCAACATGCAGTGTCAAGGAACCCAGGACAATGGCTTTGACAGGAGGTGAGGCACAACTGCCACTGCTGCCCAGGCATGGTGGCTGGGGTCTTACCCTAACTCAACACCACCTGCAACTTTGAATCTCAAGCAGATACATTAATTTTGATATACAGGGCAGAAACAAAGATCCTGAATTAAATGTTTTCTTTGATTTCCCTAGAATAGTCAGGAGAAGGCACAACTCTGCTGACACTTTTGGAAATGATAAAGTTTGAGAAATGGTGACGAATTCACACTACAGGGTGTGGCAGCAGCGCCTTCACTAGTGCATAGCACTAATGCACAGAAGTAGCTCATCTTTCTGAGCACCCTGTTTTCTCCTCAGGGTTTTCCCCTTGGGTGCCCTCAATTTTTGCCAGCCTGGACTGCTGCCTAGATATGCCTGGGTCCACTTCTAGCTCCTCAGCTCTCTCGTTCGTGTTACAGGGTCCATTTGAAGGACTCCAGCCTCAGGGCATCTTTCTCTGGCCACCTCACAAAAACAATGAAGCATGTCTCCTCACTGAGGGCCACTTCCTAATTTAGGAAGAATCTGTTTTCCTATTATAGACCTCTCACATTCATCTCAAATTCTGTAGCATGATTTTAATTATCTCACAAAGAGATTCCTGTTGCCCCTTGTCTAAGATGTTTATACTATCACTGGTCCTAGTGTCTATCCTTCACCCATCCATCAATCTATCATTCACTAAACATTTACCATGTGCCAGTCACTGTTTGTGAACCTGAATATATAGAGGTGAACAAGAGAGATAATATCTCTGCTCTCATTGAGCTTCAATTTCATTGTTCCTCTACCCATCCATCCATTTTAACTATACTCTGCCCCATTCCACATGAAGAATTTGAGTAGCTCTTGGGACCAAAGTCATTTTTCCTCTGTCGAACTGATCATAACACTTACCAGTGATGTATCTTTGGGTAGTCATAAGCAACTCATTACACTGACTCTAGCCCCACAAACACAACCAAACCATCGCCTCCAGGTTTTTACTGGTTCCCACTCCTGTTCCATTCCTCCTCTTTTTTTGCTTCAATTTCTTTCCTTCCTTTAGCAATAAGCTGTCCACCCCCTCAATACAACCTTGGGCTACGAGTAGATCTTATGTGCTTGGTGTGGCTTCTCTGAGGCCTGGTGGGAAGAAGAGCTGCCAAGTCTTACCTGGAGCCGAGAGCAAATAATAGGGCCATTATCACCATCGTAGTCACTCTCTGCCAAGCTAGACCCCTGTCACCAGATGGTACTTTGAGTTTGAACATCAGAGTATCCTATTGAGTCCCTGTCCCCTGCTCAAACAAAATACACTTTTTTTTTTTAGGTGCCTCTCCCACTACATGTAGCTAGCCTATCCTTGCATATTCTTATCACCTGGTAACTGCCGTTCATTTTAAATGCATGTGAAATTCTATTCTCTAGCAACTTAATAAAATGGTATAATTTAAAAATCCATTTTTGTTTTACATTTCTTTCCTTATGCTTTCCTATCGTTTCTGAATTTTCTATAAGTAATATGCCTTTCTTCTGTTATCAAAAGTACAAGAAATAAGTATCATTAAAATAAATTCCTACTCTCACCTGTGCCTGATTCATATCTTTTCTTCTCTCTTTCCCTACCTCAGCTCATCCCCGCCTACCACCGATTTCTTTCAAAAAGAAAAAATAAAGAGGAAAGAAAATGGGTAAAAGCAGTTATCAGTTGAAACTCGACCCTTAAAGCACAATTCTACCATCCGCTGAGGCTCAGAGCTCTGGTGGGCAACATTAACCTCTTGTATGCCCTGACCTCATTTGGCACAGTATAGGAACGCCATATGGGTGGAATCAAGCTGTCAGGAAACTAACAGAAGAGCCTGAATAAGCAAGCTACCTCTCAAGTCTGGGTCTGCCTCCCTGTGCTCATGCCTGAATATTCTCAGAAAACTCCCAAGAATGCAGAATTAAAACCTATTGATGGAAACAGCATGACACAGAATTGGGCTTTGTGGTACTACAGATAACTATATTTCTGGGTAGATTTGATAGTGCAACCTTTAAAAATAGCAAGAATACGTTGTACGGAGAAACCTGTTGAGAACACACAGGCCACCATTCACTTGGGCACCTTCCTGTCACTGATGAAAGCATCTGTGACTGAAAAGTGTACAAAGCGATCTTTGTTGGTCTGCCTCTGGCTAAACTAATACAAGACTAGGGAAGAGCTGAGCAGGGTGGAGTGGGTGTGGGGCTACTACCAGAGAGCTGGTCTTGACGATGGAGAAGATGCTGCCAAGAATTCCTGAGCAAATAAGCAGCTCTTTCTGCTGCCTCAGGTGAAGGTGAATATGATGGAGAACCACAGGAAGCAGGATGCGGCGGGATTCTGGGAGAGAAAACACAAAGGTGAAGAAGCCTTTAGAGGAGAACTAGCTACTGTGGGAAGCCAGTAGCATTATAAGACCTAGCTATTCTCAAAGCAGGTGGAGTTGAGACTAGAGCAAAAGTGAAGGTAATCCCCTTACCTTACAAGGGCCTGAAAGCTCACTGCCTGGAAATTATAAGCCATCACATGACATTATTCTTCCATCTTTTCTTTGTTCTCATTTCAATACCAAGCATCCATGATATTTTGTGCAGGATGAATGTTAGGAGTCTGCTTCATTTGGAATGAAGTCTCCTTTTTTTTGGAGACAGGGTCTCATTCTGTCACCCAGGCTGGAATGCAGTGGCATGATCATGGCTCCCTGCAGCTTCAACTTTCTAGGATTGCTAGAGCAATCCTCCTACCTCAGCCTCCCACACAGATGGGACCACAGGTGTATGGATGGCACCACACTCAAATAATTTTTTAATTTTTTGTAGAGATGAGGTCTCACTATGCTGCCCAGCAAGTCTTGAACTCGTGGGCTCAAGCGATCCTCCCTCCTTGGCCTCCCCAAATGCTAAGATTACAGGTGTGAGCCACCACACCCAGTCCCAAATGAAATCTCTTTAATGAATAGACTCCAAATTAAAAGCACAGTTTACAGTGAAAATTCCATTTAAATGGTATACTTAGTATGAACTACACTGACTGAACTTGCAGGCTTGAAATGGATTATAGATTGTCCCTCTTTATGCCCTGGCTAGGTAGGTAGTCTGACACTTCCACCCCTGTGAGCATTTACCTTGCCACAGCCAACAGGCCTGCTCCCTTTCCCCTAAAGCCTTGTGAGATTGCTGCTCAGTGTGTACACAGCAATGAACACAATTGAAGCACGACCTTTGTATTGTCACAAGACTTTGATAATTAGCCAACATTTATCACCAATCCCACTGAACACTTCAAATGATTTTCTTTTTACTTTCTCCCAATGTTACCAGAATAGCACTTTCATCAGAAGGTGACTATATTTAGAATCCCAAATTCAGGAAGGCTGTCCTACTTCAAGCTCCTTTATTAACTCATTCTGAGACCTCAGGCAAGTTGACTCCTCTCATGAGTTTTATTTTCCTCATCTGTAGAATGGGGTGTAAGGGCCTCTTCTATAATACATTTACTTCACAGGGGAGGTTAGGAGACAAGTGAAATGCAAATGTGAATGTGCTTCTGGCACCCTGTATTCCTACGTGGTCAATGATGGTGTGACTCTGCAGGTCCCATCATATCTGGCCAGCATGATTTAGTCAGATTATCAGTAACACAAACAAGCCATGGCATTTTGGATTTATCGTTCATATCTGTCTTTAGTTAAGAGTTCCACATGAAATTCAGACAGAAAATCTTTTTCAGTCAAAGACAAATTACATGATATATAAGAGATTTGGGCCTGCCTTGTCAAATGCTTAGAATATGTTCAAATAGAATAGAATACTAGCTAGTCTAGATTTAAAAGGCTGCTTGAATAAAAAAAGTTGACACCACACTGTGTGGATGAAAATACCAACATACTTAGTATTTGTAACAACCAATAGCTGCTTACAGAAAAAAACAGTGGTTTGTTACTAGAACCTGCTGAAGAAGAGACCAAACTTATACTTAGAGAATACCAGTGCTGGTTGAAGGACATCACTGGTAAAGAACCTTTTGCTTCAGGGAAGATGCTGCAACTCAGGCATTCAATGAAAGTGAGATGCAAACGAAATTTTGGCGGTGTTTGTCACCTAAAATCTAATTACATAGTCCAAGGCCACATAAGCATTAAGAAAATTTTTCTTAAGTGTTTGTGTGAAGCAGCAAGTACACGCAGAGATATTAGAAATAAAGTATGTCAGTGAGAGCAGTCTGCTGTTCCCCTTCCCACATATTTTGAAAGCATTTTTTTTTTTTTTTTTTTTTTGAGACAGAGTCTTGCTCTGTCGCGCAGGCTGGAGTGCAGTGGTGCGATCTCAGTTCACTGCAAGTTCCGCCTCCTGGGTTCACGCCATGCTCCTGCCTCAGCCTCCTGAGTAGCTGGGACTACAGGTGCCCGCCACCACGCCCGGCTAATTTTTTGTATTTTTAGTAGAGACGGGGTTTCACCGTGTTAGCCAGGATGTCTCAATCTCCTGACCTCACGATCCGCCCACCTCGACCTCCCAAAGTACTGGGATTACAGGCGTGAGCCACCACGCCCAGCTGAAAGCATTTTCTTTTAAGCAGTGCACAAAGCTCAAGTGTGTACAGTGGCCTTCAGTGACAGTGTGCCCAAACCATTAATAAAATCTTCAATATAGGAGCTGAAGAGAGAATTGTTTACCAGCATAAACAGTTACTGGTCGAAAAAAGATGACTTTCTTGGTGGCAGCTTTACTACTACTAGCAATACCATACGCTGGCAGAGCTAAGTCAAAGGGAACACCTATTTAGTATTACAAATATGTGTAGCACCGGGCTGAGAAATTTTTGGTCTTATACTTTAAAAGTCAAACCTGGCCGGGTGCCGTGTCTCACGCCTATAATCCCAGAACTTTGGCTGGCTGAGATGGGTGGATCATGAGATCAGGAGTTCGAGACCAGCCTGGCCAACATGGTGAAACCCCATCTCTACTAAAAACACACACACACACACACACAAAAAAAAAAAAAAAAAAAAAAAATTAGCCAGGCATGGTGTTGCATGCCTGTAGTCCCAACTACTCGGGAGGCTGAGGCAGGGGAATCGTTTGAACCTGGGAGGCAGAGGTGGCGATGAGCCAAGATCACGCCACTGGACTCCAGCCTGGGCAACAGAGCGAGACTCCATATCATTTAAAAAAAAAAAAAAAAAGTCAAACCTAAAAAATTAACCACCAAAATTATAAAAATTCTAATAATTGTTTTGCTGGTGTTTTGGATTTATTTTGGTGCCTCAGAAGTTTATCCTAGCACAATGATATTATATTTAAAGAATTAGGCTCATATTGATCTTAATATATGGCCATTGAGCATTTGGTTGTCCCTGCAAGGCAGAACTTGATCACATATGATGTGGCTTCAGGAACAAAACCAGAAGTTCTTCGTGAAAGACAGACTAGGCTGCTAATATATTAGATTGTCCTGACCCCTTGGGGAGCATAAAGAGCTCCCTGTCTATTCCTCTCTCTAATCCTTGTTGGTTCTCCAAAGACTTTCGGAAAAGGTATTGACCGGTATGGCAAGGAAACAAGAAAGCACAGGGTCCTCAGGGCCCCCTTTCAGGGCCCTTTTTTTTTTTTTTTTTTTTTGAGACAGTCTCGCTCTGTTGCCCTAGTTGGAGTACAATGGCATGATCTCAGCTTACCGCCACCTCTGCCTCCTGGGTTCAAGCAATTCTCCTGCTTTAGCCTCCTGAGTAGCTGGGATTACAGGTGCCCACCACCATGCCTGGCTAATTTTTTGTATTTTTAGTAGAGATAGGGTTTCACCCTGTTTGCCAAGCTAGTCTTGAACTCCTGACCTCAAGTCATCTGTAGGGCCTCTTTTATTTTCTTGGCTTATCCTTGTTTCCTTGAGATAGTCCCTTCTCTCTTCCTCTCCTTCCTTTCCTGAGTGTATGGCAAGCTCTGTTCTTGGAAGCTGTGGGCCTGGAGGCAGGGCCCTCATGAACAAGATTAGTGACCTTTTAAAAAAAAAGAGACCCCAGAGAGCTGCCTTGCCCCTTCTGCTATGTGACAACACAGAGAGAAGACAGCTGTCTATGAACCAGGAAGTAGGCCTCACCAGACACTGAATCTGCTGGTGCTTTGATCTTAGACTTCCTAACCTCCAGAACTGAGAAAGTTTGTTGTTTACACGCCACCCAGTCTATGGTATTCTGTTACAGTAGCCTGAATGGACTCAGACACCACCCCAGTGACATGCCCGTATGTGTGGATTCCTAGGAATAAACTGCGAGTAAGACAGTAGGCCTAGGTCTTGGCTACATTCTCTATTACAGTTTACCAAAATATTCTGCATCTTAAGGGTCACTGGTTTCTTGCATAATGGTTGAGGAAACTGATCCTTTGATTATCACTTGGCTATCACCCCTAGAAGGAAGGAAAGGTGAGTCCGACTCTCATCCAAACTTGATTTACCTGAGAAAGAAAACAGGCGGCTATCCACTGTCCTGGCAATGGACTGCAGCTTGACCACGTCCATTGACTGCCCAATGTGCACAGTGCTGGGCATGCTCCCCAGTGTCCCTCTCACAAACTCTGCCACCTCTTGCACAGTGAACATTTGCAGCAGCTCGTCAAAGATGGTTGGGAAAGAATTGAGGAGTGCAGCCTGCAGAAGCAAATGAAGCTGTGGTTAGCACAGAGTTAGGGTGTGTGTCTATCTTTCACACTCAGACAATGATACAAGGTGGTGAGAGGCTGAGAAGGCACTGTAGCATCTCTGCCTTAGGTGGGCTCCTCCCTGGCCACTGACTACAGCACTCAGGCATGGAGCAGGAAAAACCAAAAAGGAAACCAAAACAAGATAATTTACTGGGATCCAGGAAATCTGAGGTTTTCATAACTTGCATATAGCATTTGCTGGCAAGAGAATGGGGTATAAAGAAAAATCTGGGCCAGGCGCGGTGGCTCACGCCTGTAATCCCAGCACTTTGGGAGGGCGAGACGGGCGGATCACAAGGTCAGGAGATCGAGACCACCCTGGCTAACACGGTGAAACCCCGTCTCTACTAAAAGTACAAAAAACTAGCCGGGAGAGGTGGCGGCCGCCTGTAGTCCCAGCTACTCGGGAGGCTGAGGCAGGAGAATGGCGTAAACCCAGGAGGCGGAGTTTGTAGTGAGCCGAGTTCGTGCCACTGCACTCCAGCCTGGGCGACAGAGCAAAGACTCCGTCTCAAAAAAAAAAAAAAGAAAAATCTGCTCAGTGTGGCTTAAGATCCGCAGCTGTTTTTGTTCATAAAATGTATTTATACTTTTGTTCGTCTCTATGATCAAGTTCTTAACTTTCCAATTTTGGTTCCAAACTCAAGAAAGTATGGCAGAGAGCTGAGTTCCTTCAAGCAGCATCAGCTGAACTCTGTTCACAGCCCTGCAGCCAATGATCCAGTTCTGAGAGCTGTACCATTTCCCCAGAATAGAGATTCTTATTTGCAACCATGAAATATGAAGGCTTCATAAATTATTTTTTTCATAAGTGATGCCTGGTAGTCTCAAGAGTAAATTCAAGAGGATGAGAAATCTGTGTATTTGGTTAGCCATAAACTCTTGAGGACTGTTGACGTGGGCTTAGAGTTCAGCGACCTAGACACCCAAGCAAGGGGAGTGCGAGTGTGCATGTTAGGCTTTTCTTCTAGGATGTAAGCTCTGGTAGACCACAAGGTAGTTTCTTGAGAACAATCTGATAATAGAACAGTTCCAGAACCTTTGGGAGGCAGAGCACTATAGGAGAAAGAGAATGGGTTTTGGAATTAGACATGAGTTCAAATTCGAGCTTTACCACTTACCTGACACATAAACTTTGGCAAGTTAACCTAATTCTCTGTTTCCCCATCTATAAAATGGGGATGATGCTATTACTTATTTCTTGATGCTGGTATGAGGGAAATTTTTACATAAAGTTTCCAGTATAGTGTCTGGAACACAATAGGCCTTTCATATATGCTGGTTCTCATGATTTTCTCTTGTGGAAGTGGAAGCAGCATGAAGACTTTTTTTCACTTCTCAGTCCCCTTATGCCATTAACTCAGGATTTACAAAGAGAAATGGAGTGCCACCTTGAGACAAAAAGGTGAGAATGCACCCTTCCCAAATGGCAGGTTGGGGAGGGAAGGCCGTTTTCCTGACTGCTCCATCAGGCAACAGACACTGGCTTAGAGTGAGTGAAAATTTATGCCATGGAAAACAGGCTTGTGCTGTGGTCTTTATTCAGGCCAGGCCCAACTGGAGCACTTATTTTTTTTTTTTTATTTTTTTATTTTTTGAGACGGAGTCTGGCTCTGTCGCCCAGGCTGGAGTGCAGTGGCGGGATCTCAGCTCACTGCAAGCTCCGCCTCCCGGGTTTACGCCATTCTCCTGCCTCAGCCTCCGGAGTAGCTGGGACTACAGGCGCCGCCACCACGCCCGGCTAGTTTTTTATATTTTTTAGTAGAGACGGGGTTTCACCGTGTTAGCCAGGCTGGTCTCGATCTCCTGACCTCGTGATCCGCCCGTCTCGGCCTCCCAAAGTGCTGGGATTACAGGCTTGAGCCACCGCGCCCAGCCTGGAGCACTTATATGAGTTCTATCTGCAGATTTATAACTCCTGGAATATTGAGGAGATTGTTTTGCAGTAATTAGAACCAGAACAAAACATATTGTTAGCAGCTTAGATATAAAAAACAAAGGAGTGGTGAAGTAGGTGCTTTATAATCAATAACAAACAGTAACTCATTTGCTCTCTTAAATGGTGAAATATCCTGTACTTAGACACCAGGACAGAAGGACTCTCACACCCTGACATCTTCTAGTGGTCATAATCAAAGATACAAAGTCTAAGTGAATAATATGCATACATATGTGTGTGTGTATCTCTCTCTCTCTATATATATACATACACACATATACCTACACCTACACACACACACACACACACACACACACACACACATATATATGTGAAACTCAGGAAACATGAGCCTTGCACCAAAGAAGAAGGTCAGATTCTCACACAGGTCTTAGCTGAGACCAGATCTAAGCTATTTATCTTGATGTAGTAGGAGTGTGCCACTCAGTACAGGGCATTACTGTGTTACCAAGTTCCCAGAAAGCATATGTGCATTGCTTTGCTAGCTACCTCTAATCTCTCCGTATTCTGGCTGTGGGAGGGGAACGGAAGAGGAACATGAGCAGCTTAAGGTACTTAGAAGGGGAGATCACAGGTGTCTTCCTTACAGAAGCACCTGGAAGCCTTGAGGTACTCCCTTATAGAGTTCCTTATAGACTCCCTTATAGAGTATATTCCCTTATAGAGTCAAGGAAGTCTTAAGGTACTCCCAGTTGATTACCTGTCCTCTGGGCTGAGAAACCTACAGGCAACTGGTATCAAGAGGCAACACAGAGGCAAGTGGAAAACAAAATTTTTAAAAAAATTTTTTGTTTTTTAATTTTAATCTTAAATGAGACAGTTTAAATATATACTTGGGCTAACAATATACTTGGCAGTGACTGAATGACTGAACATGAGAGAGGCTGTCTGATCTTTGCTTACAGGTTTTGGCGTAATATTTAGCTTCAAAAAGTTGAAGAATATAATCCATTACGTAAAAATTCTGACATTCATTTTATAAGGAAAAATACTTCCCTTTTGACTGGGGTAATGAATTCTTGATTTGTTCTAGGGTAAGACTGTGTGGAAAGGTAACAGATTAGCTGGCCAGGCAGTTTTGTTCGTTTTTGAGACAGTGTCTTACTCTGTGGCCAGGCTGGAGTGCAGTGGTGCAATCACAGCTCACTGTAGCCTTAACTTCTTGGGCTCAGGTGATTGGCCAGGTAGTTTTAATATAAGAAACCAAATTTTCTTCCCATACCGATATTTCTAATATTGAATCTAATCTAATCTTTTTTTGAAGTTTCATTTTAATTAATTAATTTATTTATTATACTTTAAGTTCTGGGATGCATGTGCAGAACGTGCAGGTTTGTTACATAGGTATACACGTGCCATGGCGGTGTGCTGCACCCATCAATCCGTCATCTACGTTAGGTATTTCTCCTAATGCTATCCCTCTCCTAGTCCCCCAATCCCCCCAGGTGTGTATGTTCCCCTCCCTGTGTCCATGTGTTCTCCTTGTTCACCTCCCACATATGCCACATATGAGTGACAACATGTGGTGTTTGGTTTTCTGCTCCTGTGTTAGTTGACTGAGAACGATGGTTTCCAGCTTCATCCATGTCCCTGCAAAGGACATAAACTCTTCGTTTTTTATGACTGCATAGTATTCCATGGTGTATATGGGTCACATTTTCTTTACCTAGTCTATGACTGATGGGCATTTGGGTTGGTTCCAAATCTTTGTTATTGTCAACAGTGCTGCAATAAACATATGTGTGTGGCTGGGCGCGGTGGCTCATGCCTGTAATACCAGCACTTTGAGAGGGTGAGGCAGGTGGATCACCTGAGGTCAGGAGTTCAAGACTAGCCTGGCAAACAGGGTGAAACCCCATTTCTAATAAAAATATAAAAAATTAGCTGAACATGGTGGTGTGCGCCTGTAATCCCAGCTACTCAGGAGGTTGAGGCAGGAGAATTGCTTGAACATGGGAGGTGGAGGTTGCAGTGAGCTGAGATCGCTCCATTGCACTCCAGCTTGGGCAACAAGAGTGAAACTCCATCTCAAAAAAAAAAAGAAAAAGAAAAAGAAAAAGAAAGAAAAAACATACGTGTGTATGTGTCTTTATAGTAGAATGATTTATAATCCTTTGGGTATATAGCCAGTAATGGGACTGCTGGGTCAAATGGTATTTCTAGCTCTAGATCCTTGAGGAATCACCACACTGTCTTCCACAATGGTTGAACTAATTTACACTCCCACCAACAGTGTAAAAGTGTTCCTATTTCTCCACATCTCTCCAGCATCTGTTGCTTCCTGACTTTTTAATGATCGCCATTCTAACTGGTGTGAGATGGTATCTCATTGTGGTTTTGATTTGCATTTCTCTAATGACCAGTGATGAGTTTTTTTCATGTTTGTTGGCTGCGTAAATGTCTTCTTTTGAGAAGTGTTTGTTCATCTCCTTTGCCCACTTTTTGATGTTTTTTTTTTTTCTTGTAAATTTGTTTAAGTTCTTTGTAGGTTTTGGATGTTAGCCCTTTGTCAGATGGATAGATTGCAAAAATTTTCTCCTATTCTATAGGTTGCCAGCAGAGGCTGCAGAACAGCAAAGATTGTTGCCTATTTCTTCCTCTGGAAGCTTCTTCCCAGAGTGGCACCCACCAGATGCCAGCCACAGCTCTCCTGTATGAGGTGTCTGTCGTCCCCTACTGGGAGGTGTCTCCCAGTTAGGAGGCATGGGGGTCAGGGATCCACTTAAGGAGACAGTCTGTCCCTTAGCGGAGCTCGAGAACTGTGCTGGGAGATCTGCCACTCCCTTCAGAGTCGGCAGGCAAGAACACTTAAGTCTGCTGAAGCTGTGCCCATAGCTGCCCCTTCCCCCAGGTGCTCTGTCCCAGGGAGATGGGAGTTGGATCTGTAAGCCCCTGACTGGGCTTGATGCCTTTCTTTCACAGATGCCCCACCCAGAGAGGAGGAATCTAGAGAGGCAGTCTGGCTACAGTAGCTTGACAGCACTGTGGTGGGCTCTGACCCCTCCAAAGTTCCTGTCAGCCTTTCTTACACTGTGAGGGGAAAACTGCCTTCTCAAGCCTCTGTAATGGTGGATACCCCTTCCCTGACCAAGATTGAGTGTGCCAGGTCGACGTCAGACTGCTGTGCTGGCAGTGAGAATTTCAAGCCAGTGGATCTTAGCTTGCTGGGCTCCGTGGGGGTGGGATTCACTGAGCTAGACCACTTGGCTTCCTGGCTTCAGCCCACTTTCCAGGGGAGTGAACGGTTCTGTCTCGCTGGTGTTCCAGGTTCCACTGGGGTATGGAAAAAACTCCTGCTGCTAGCTCAGTGTCTGCCCAATCAGCCGCCCAGTTTTGTGCTTGAAACCCAGGGCCCTGGTAGTGTAGGCACCTGAGGGAATCTCCTGGTCTGCAGGTTGCAAAGACTGTGGGAAAAGCATAGTATCTGGGCCAGAATGCACTGTTCCTCAAGGCACAGTCTCTCCTGGCTTCCCTTGGTTAGGGGAGGGAGTTCCCTAACCCCTTGAGCTTCCCAGGTGAGGCGACACCCCACCCTGCTTCTGCTTGCCCTTCATGGGTGCACCCACTGTCTAGCCAGTCCCAGTGAGATAAGCCAGGTACCTCAGTTGGAAATGCAGATCATCCGCCTTTTGCGTTGATCTCACTGGGAGCTGTAGTCCAGAGCTGTTCCTATTTGGCCATCTTGCCAGCCCTCTGATCCTAATTTAATCTTAATTCTTAGCCAAATCTTCCTAGTTAATCCTACTGTTTTACAAATTATTTCATTCAACTTCTGGAATGGACAAAAGCTAATCTAAATTTTCTTTTTTCCTTTTTCTTTTTGGAGACAGTCTCACTCTGTTGCCCAGGCTGGAGTGCAGTGGTGTAATCTTGGCTCACGGCAACCTCCGCCTCCTGGGTTCAAGCAATTCTCCTGCCTCAGCCTCCTGAGTAGCCAGGACTACAGGTGCATGCTAATTTTTTGTATTTTTAGTAGATATGGGGTTTCATCATGTTGCCCAGGGTGGTCTTGAACTTCTGAGCTCAAGCAATCCGCCTGCCTTGGCCTCCCAAAGTGCTAGGATTACAGGTGTGAGCCACTGTGCCCAACTTTTGTTAATACAATGCTTAATCAGGAAATAAAATTCCCCATACATTCTGATTATCTCCTATGAATCAGATGTTCATAAAAAACTAAGTAGTATGTAGCTAAATAAATTTGGTCTAAAGACTGTTCACAAGAACAAATTTGTGCTTCATCTCCAACATAAAGCCACTGAGCTGTTTTATATCTGGCAGCTGAGGCACAGCCAGATTTGCTGTAAAAGCAGCATTTTGTTGTATCAGGTATTTCCTTATAAATCACCCCTTACCCAACACACATGATCCTGGCAGGGTTTCTTCATCTCTGAAAACCAGAAGACAAAGAAACCACCCGCTGAGAAAGAGGAACCCAGCAGCAAAGCTTCCCTGCAGTGTGCGAACCTGAGTAAAAAGGAGTGTTTCTGAGTTTCTGCTGTCCAGACTGAGCACAAACCGGATGGACTGGAAAAGTTCTTGGATACTGGATCTGAATTGTTCCTCTTCCATTCCACAAGTGGCTCGTGAGTACAGGATCCGTGACTGTACAATGAACTTGAAAAGGTACTCCAAGGCCTGGAAAGTATGGGAGAAAAAGTGATGGAGAGGTGTTGAAGATGGTCAGGAACTCACATAGCAGAAAACAAAGGGCAAAGTAACAGCAGTTTCTATATCAAAATCAGGTGATGGACAGTTCTAACTATGAAGATAGATAGGCACTTTATTTTTTAAATTTTTTTCTCAAATATCCAAATTGTCACTAAGCAGCAGCTACCTTCTTATTGAAAGAATTATTAAATAATTTCACAACTGTTTTCTGAGGTTCTGGAATTAAGGAGCCATAAACTGTTATAGAAATAGTTGAATTCAAGAACATTCAGAGTTTAAAAAATAAGTTTCTTTGTATTTTTTTTCAGGTCTGGAAATAAAAGGGTCACAAGGCAAGGATGTAAGAAACACTCAAGTTTACTGCAAGAAGGAAGTATCCTAAAGGACTCAGGAGTCCTCAGACTTAGGAGTCTCCTACATCTTTAAGATATAGCTGGGGCCTGACACAGTTCCTCCTTTTTCACCAGGGGTCACAGAAATCTGAGGAAAACTTGTCCCAGGCTGCACAGCAGCCGATAGGCCTGATACATCCAGTATCCACCCTCTTTCCACAAAGACATCTGCCATAAACAGTTCATAAATAGTATAAGATGAAGCTTCTGCAAAAAGTTTGGGAGCAGAATCTGATTCTGAGGAGTTCCTGATGCTTGGCCCATGCTTACAGAGTAATTTCCTTTTAAGAGAACACATTCAAGACCCAATACTATGTTTTCTAATTAAAAAAACAAAAAAAAACAAAAAAACACAGATTTCCCAGACACTGAAAAGGAAGAGATAATGGAGAGAAACTTATGCAACGCTGAAACAAACAGAAGTCAGGTACTTGAAACATAAACAGGAAACAATTCCTAAACTCCCTTTCATGATCTATCCAGCTGTTAGATGGTTTGGAAAAGCAGAACTTAATATTTTGTGGCCCATATAAAATTCAGTTGGCACTGGGGAATGCCAGTTTAGAAAATGTGTCATCCAGGGATTGTACCAGATGATTCTGTAGAAGAAATGAGTGTGTGGCCTCGTCTCCATAAATGCTACACCCTCTGTTCTAGTAGCTTTTTAATGTCTAGTCTATAAAGAACTTGAAAAATCTGTCAGTTGTTAAACCCAGACCCTTGCAGGCTGGACTCTGCCACTGCTCCAGTATGTCTATATTGCGGTGACTCTTCGGGCCCATGAAGCAGAAAGTATACGCTTCTGAGCCAGCTTCATTTATTAGGTCATGCCAGTTTGAAGTCACTGAAATAGGACGTATTTTCTATTAAAATAAAGAAAATAAACGTGTGCATTTTCCAAACTAAATGGCTAGGTAGCAGGTTTGACCTTTCCCTTTAGGTACTTTGGTTTTGTATGATTAACATGGCTTGCTGGGCTCAGCAGAGGACAAAAGAGGGACAGGGTCAGGATTGACACTCTGGAATCCTTAGAGGTAGGGATTAGAATCCCTATAGGTAAAAGATAGAATAGATCTTGGAGCAGCCTAAAAAAGCCAGGATTGCTTCCTCAGTTAAGTCACACAGAAAATGAAAAGCACGCTAAGACCTGGAAAGATTCACCAAAAATGTATTATGCATAGAAGAAGAACATGAACTTATTGAGCATCCTACTATCATATGCCCAAGCCCCAGAAGATGCAGGAAGGACTGGTAATTACGTGGAGCACTGGAAATAAAGACAGTAAAATAAACTACTTTTTTTTTTTTTTTGAAAAGTGCAATTTTAGGACACCTGAGAGGTAGGCAAATCTAATTATGTGCTCCATACTACTCTTCTAATTTTAAAAAGCTTTTTTGTTTGTTTGGTTTTAAGTTTGAAACAGCTACCACAAGAGATGTAATGAGTGGCATGAAACATTCGGCAGTTTCAGGGAGGTAGAACTAGACAGCAAAGTGACTTGCACCTTTTGGGCATGAGAGCTTCCTTCCACTATTAGGTTACACAATATAAGACAACTAGCAGAGGAGCACAAGGCTGATGTCAGAGAAGTCTCCATGCAAACCCGTATGAGGACATGGAAAATAAAGCCACTTCCAGTCATTCGTCAGTACCTGACTTCCCTCTTCCCCACTCCTCTTGAATCTCTTGAATTTTTGGATCAGTACCATCTTAATCAGGACCAGGTGATGCTGGCCACCTCTGACGGATTCAACTGGGGAAGGAGAGTAGGGCAGAGGAGTGGAATAGAAGGTGAGAGGTGGAGCCTGTGGAATTTGTTCAAGCTTTAAAGGTGCTCCAATTACTGTGTAGAGACAATGGAGCACTTAACTGTGGCTCAAGCAGCTGCCCTGTCCATTTTTGCTTAAGTTAATAAACCTGTAAGAAAAGAGATCCTAAAAGTTATTACCATGTGTGTATCACCAAGAAGATCCACCGTGCCCTCTCTTTCCTCCTTGTGGCTACCTGCTAAGGAACTGATACAGCACAGCATGGAAAAGTGTGCTGTTGTTTTGGAATACCTTGTGAAGAGCCACCCTAAAACCCACAACGACACCCCGGCATGCCTCTCACATTGTGAACAAACAATAAAACCAAGTAAGAAATAATGAACTTTTTATTTTCACCTTCTTCAACAGAACTTTTTTTAAGGTCATGATTCTGAAGGTAAAAGGAAGAGATAAGGTTATGGGTGGAAAGATATATTGAATCAAAAGTATTAAGGAAGAAGTTTCCTGGTTCATGGCTTTTGATACTGGAATGAGAAGTATCAGGCCAGGAGCATGCATCCTATGAAGGAGGAGGAAAACAGGATTAGATGGAAACTTACTAATTTGGTGAAGGAGACATGTAAACTGAAATCAGATAAAGAAGAGGAAATGAACTGATAAAACCTTAGTGTTGGATGTATTACAGAACAAGTGTGAAATGGTGAGAACAAATATGAAAACACCTCAGAAAAATACTCCCCGAAAGGGAATTCTTCCTTCTCCCTACCCAAACCTTATCTTTCCCAGAATTCTGTACCTCCATAAATAGCCTTGCCATCAACTCAGCTGATTTAGCAAAGACCCCTTAGAAACAGTCACAGTTCTCCCTTATTATCATCTTCTACATCCAAGCTAGCATTTGAAAGCCCTTGCTTTAGTCACATCAATTGCCTTTTGGTTCCTTAAAAATCCAAGCTCTTTGGGCCCGGTGCAGTGGCTCATCCCTGTAATTCCAGGACTTTGGAAGGTGGAAGTGGGTGGATCACCTGAGGCCAGGAGTGGCTAACTAGAACACACAGTGTAGAGAAGACGTTAAATGACCCGATAGAGCTGAAAACCATAGCACAAGAACTACATAACACATGGACAAGCTTCACTAGCCGATTCGATCAAGAGGAAGAAAGGGGATCAGTGATTGAAGATCAAATGAATGAAATGAAGTGAGAAGTTTAAGAGAAAAAAGAGTAAAAAGAAATGAACAAAGCCTCCAAGAAATATGGGACTATGTGAAAAGACCAAATCTATGTCTGATTGACGTACCTGAAAGTGACAGGGAGAATGGAACCAAGCTGGAAAACACTCTTCAGGATATTATCCAGGAGAACTTCCCCAACCTAACAGGGCAGGCCAACATTCAAATTCAGGAAATACAAAGAACACCACAAAGATACTCCTCAAGAAGAGAAACTCCAAGACACATAATTGTCAGATTCACCAAAGTTGAAATAAAGGAAAAAATGTTAAGGGCAGCCAGAGAGAAAGACTGGGTTACTCACAAACGGAAGCCCATCAGACTGACAGCAGCTCTCTTGGCAGAAACTCTACAAGCCAGAAGAGACTGGGGGCCAATATTTAACATTCTTAAAGAAAAGAATTTTCAACCCAGAATTTCATATCCAGCCAAACTAAGCCTCATAAGTGAAGGACAAATAAAATCCTTTACAGACAAACAAATGCTGAGAGATTCTGTCACCACCAGGCCTGCCTTACAAGAGCTCCTGAAGGAAGCACTAAATGTGGAAAGGAACAACTGGTACCAGCCACTGCAAAAACATGCCAAATTGTAAAGATCATTGATGCTAGGAAGAAACTGCATTAACTAAGCAGCAAAATAACCAGCTAACATCATAATGACAGTATCAAATTCACACATAACAATACTAACTTTAAATGTAAATGGACTAAATGCTCCAATTGTAAGACACAGACTGGCAAATTGAATAAAGAGTCAAGACCCATCAGTGTGCTGTATTCAGGAGACCTATCTCGCATACAGAGACACACATAGGCTCAAAATAAAGGGATGGGGGAAGATCAACCAAGCAAATGGAAAACAAAAAAAAGCAGGGGTTGCAATCCTAGTCTCTGATAAAATAGACTTTAAACCAACAAAGATCAAAAGAGACAAAGAAGGCCATTACACAATGGTAAAGGGATCAATTCAACAAGAAGAGTTAACCATACTAAATATATATGCACCCAATACAGGAGCACCCAGATTCATAAAGCAAGTCCTTAGAGACCTACAAAGAGATTTAGACTCCCCCACAATAATAATGGGAGACTTTTAACACTACATTGTCAACATTAGACAGATCAACGAGACAGAAAGTTAACAAGGATATCCAGGACTTGAACTCAGCTCTGCACCAAGCAGACCTAATAGACATCTACAGAACACTCCACCCCAAATCAACAGAATACACATTCTTCTTAGCACCACATCACACTTATTCCAAAATTGACCACATAGTTGGAAGTAAAGCACTCCTCAGCAAATACAAAAAAACAGAAATTATAACAAACTGTCTCTGAGACCACAGTGCAATCAAACTAGAACTCAGGATTAAGAAACTCACTCAAAACCGCTCAACTACATGGAAACTGAACAACCTGCTCCTGACTGACTACTGCATACATAATGAAATGAAGGCAGAAATAAAGATATTCTTTGAAACCAATGAGAACAAAGACCAATGTACCCAAACCTCTGGGACACATTTAAAGCAGTGTGTAGAGGGAAATGTATAGCACTAAATGCCCACA